ATAGTTGCAACTTTTTCTAAAGGGCATAGTTACTGCTGCATAATAAAGCTTCGTCCTGTCTCAGCCATAAAGCAAAGGAACTTTTTCTACTCTGAATACTCTGAATTGCTTCTGGTTCCTTTTTGCTCTAAAAGCAAAAAAAGAAATTGCTCTTTCAATCAGCTTTTCATTGGCATTCCTTCAAGGGATGTATTTAGAGAGATTGCACAAAAACCTTCCTTTGACCTTGCAGGTTATTTCCTTTTAAGCAACTTGTATAACATTGTCAAATGACTGACAAAATATCTGCTCCCTAACCTCATAGCCTAGAAATCCATAAGCATGAGATTGTTAAGATACAACTTCTAAGGCACTTAGCCATGCTAAATTTGTTATTCTTCGGATGATTTTCTTGCCACAAGGGTTGCAGCTGTTTGTATAACAGACAAACATAATGTTGATGATGAAGCAAATTAACCATTTGTACAAGCCATGTAAAATAAATTGCCCGGTGGATTGAGTTTTCTTGGACACTCTCTATGGAACTCTTGGGCCAAACATTGTCATGTCTGTTTCTTAAGTTTATAAAAAAGTAGCCAAAAAAGGTTTACAGACTTTTCAATACTGCTGACACTGTGAATCATTAAATACAGCCCAAGCCGATTTTCATCTGTCATATTTTGACTATGTTTATTTTTCCAGTATCTCTTTGAGAACCCTAGAAGATTCCGAAATATAATAGTTAAAGAATGACAGTCCTTTCCCCACAATATAAAGGGAAGGACAATTTTTGTGACTTGAGAAATTTGTCTGGTTAGCAAGATATTTTACCTTGTACTCTAACAGCACCTGTAAGGTATTAAAAATTGCTCTTTATTTTAAATCAGTTGGTATTTAAGTTAACAATTTAATGGGGGATTTTGGTTGATTGAAAAAGATTAGAATACTCATATCACTATGTTTATGTTAAAGTAGTTTTTCTAATTACATGATATGATATAATCTAGGCTTACCTGACAAAAGACTGTTTTGGTTTTAGTTATTTTTACCCATCCCACAACATGCACACATGCACATGTACGTCTATGTGTCTAAATTAAAGTAGCGGGGGAAAGAAGATACACTGGCTCCCTATAGTCATTATTTTTGCACTACTACGAAATTTACAGCACTACGGATAATAGAGCTAAGGGCAGCAAGATGTTAAAACCCCCGTGGCTGGCGAGTGCTTTGTCATGCTCTCCAGACAGGAGCAACTGGGGAATGCTGTTTGGCTCCCCCTGCTCCAGGACTTTAAAGAGCATGCAGGCAGCCCAGCACCAAAGCTGCTTGCAGATACCCAGGGGCTGAAAAGGCAGTTTTTTTTATTAAGTCCAGTTCATATGATGTGAAGCTGTACATGGATGCAAATAGCATTAAATGCTTAGATGTACTGTTGCGTGGTAGTAAATCTCCAGTTCCCTCTGCTCTGGTGAGAAGACAGGGTGAAAAAAGGTCAGGGTTGTCAAAAATATTTTATCCTTTCAAATCTGAGAAACAGAAATTTGAAGAAATGGGTATCCTGCAGTGTAGACAAAAAGTAACTTTAATGAGCAAAGTAATTTGGCCTGTATAAGAAACTGCATGCATTGGCAAAAAATATAATTAATCTTAACATTTGCCTCCTGTGGGTGAAAATCCCCCAATTTCTGAAGAAAGTTTCTGCAGGTATGGAAATTATCTAATATCAGTCTTTCAGTATCAAAGCCAAACATCAAGGTTTCTCAAAAATTGCCTCTTCCAGTGAAACTTTAATATTGCATTTGAAATTGAGCCGTTTGAATTTCTTTGTTAGAAATTGAATTTCATAGATAGACATTTCTGATATTTGTTCTTAAAGTACGTGAAGTTTTAAAATCTATTTTCCCAGGCACCCTGGATCCCTCCAATATCTAAAAAGTTCACCAACAAAACATTCATTTGAAGAATGTTTTCATGCACATTGTAGATGGGAATCAATTTAATGCATTAATATAATGAGAGATACTTTTCTTTGGATAAGCCAATTCTATCAGCTGAATGTTGGTATCAGATGATTTTGGGAACAGTTATGAATTTAATTGATCTGCCTATTTATCAAATTCCAGTAGTGTGATTGTTAATTGGGTTAAAGTTTGTGGCAGTTTTTCTCCCGAAGGGAAAATTCCTGAAAGAGAAATTTCTGGGATTATCTTGTCATCTACTTAATCTAGGCAAGGTTGAGAGTGTAGTCTTATGTTTAATTTTTTAACTTTGGTATTTGTTCTACAGCAGTTTTAATGATGTTCACCCTTAAGATATAGTATTATTTTATTGATTTTAGTCAGTGTTGTATCTGGTATGTCAGATCAGATGCTTCACCACTTAAATCTACAGTGTTTGATTAAAGCACGTGTGATAAGGTCTATGATTTTTAAATACCTTGTGGATATTGATTGCAATGTTTATTATTCTCTGATGTATATGATGTACATCATTTTCTGTGGAGGGGGAAAGAAGGACTTTATATTACAAGTTAGAAAATCCTCTAGCCCTACTATATACCTTGTGTATATTGACTTCATTTTATAGCGTTCACTTGTATAATCAATGCTAGAAAGAGACACATGTTTTGGAAAGGGATTTTTAAAGCTCTGGATCATATTTTTATATCTACATCAACTTTATATCAGAATTTTAATTTAGAATTAAATAATTAGTACACTTGGATACTCATTTTCCATTTAAATCAGTTCATTTAATTAGTGGTAGATTTTTTGTTTTTGTAAATCTCTGCAAAAAGCCCAAATATTTAATGTCTAGAGAATCCAGTGTGAGTTTAAGCATATATGTAACCTGCATGGGGCATTTGTGCAACTGTACCTTGTTACTGCTGTTATACTGAGGAAGCAATTACTGTTACAACTTAGAAATTTTCTTCATGGTTCTAGTTATTGGTCCTGCAAAGAAATGTGTCCACATAGACCCTTGCATAATCCCTCAGTAAGTGGGACTTTGGCATCGTATAACAAGGCTCATGGATGAATTGCTTTAAAACCCACCCTGCAAACAGGACCTGAAAATATTTTAATGGGCCATTTTTTTCCAAATACCATGTAAATGTTGACCAGTTTTTTTTAACCTGCCCACCTATCTGTACCTTTAAAACCTAAATGCATTTAAACAAGGTGTTTCAATTATTTCATTTGGGAGCACCTGCCATCTTCTGCCTAAGTAATTATTCAGTCCTCTCAATATCTCTCTGAGGTAGGGTAGTAAGTACTATCCCCATTTTACAGATAAGGAAGCGGAGCACAAGATATGTGGGTTGCAACCCCAAATGGGGTTGCAACATCAGCAGATGGGGTCGTAGGGGTGGGGGCTGTGGTTTGGGAGTGAGGGGCCATGCTGGGGAAACAGGGCCATAAATAGGGTCATGCTGAGGAATAGTTTGGGAAGCTCTGTTTTAAAAAGTCTGTCCAATATCACAGAAGAAATATGGGGTTGAGACATAGCTTCAGTGCTCGGCTCCTGGATTCTAGTTGTTTCCTTTTCAGTAGCCCACCTATCTCTCTCTTATGGACAATGAAGTGCCAAACAACAGGTCCCCCATTAGGAATGGAATTGTGTGAAGTCTTCTTATGACAAGAAGTTGTGTTTAAAAGCAGATATTTAAAAATAGGTATGTTCTTTGATTACCTGAATAAATTCCTTAAACTAGCATTTCATTAAACTAACATTTCCTAAAGAGTGCAACAGACCTCATGGGGATGCACAGGTAACTAGTGAAAACAAGGTGTGTGTAGAAATGGTCATACCATCCATTTCCCTTTGGGTGATAACAGTGAGTTCATCGAGAGCTACACAGAGCTCTAAATGTAAGCCTTGGTAGAAACTTAAAGGTGGAATAGATTTTATTTTTAAATATTATTTTTATTTACTTAATTCTCTCAGCAATGATTACATGCTCTTAGTGCTGCCATATTACTAAAGCTTACAAAATAGAAATAAAGTTTACAGAATGCATAATATGTAATACTTGATGCATAATGGATAATGGTTTTAAAATGTGTTTAGAATGTTTATTTGTGGGCTCTCATTCATTTGGGATGTAAAAGAGGTGGTTTTTTTTAAATTTCCGAAACATTTCTGTTCACCCAATTTGTATCTGGCATAAACTCTGTGTAAATGTTATATGTCTGGATTTAAAAAAAAATCTTTTAAAAAAGCATTCTGACTATTACTAACTTGACTTTGGAAAAAATACAGAAAATATTTTATAGAAGGCACATATATTACCTGAGTGTAGAAGGTTGTATCCCTGTTGGGTCACCATCTATAAGACTAAAAATACAAGGCTTAGAAGAAAGAATTGGAGACAGACAATGATGGTCAAAGCAAAAGGAAACTATACTAATAATTTCTTTTGATGTTCAATTGGGATCCCTGTGTCTGTTCTGTAGGTCATGGATAAACTGAGCAACCCTCTTGCTCAGAGGAGAAGTCTCAAGAGATGAGGGCTGATTGGCATT